AACGAAATATTAACTAACGCAGATCACTCCATCATTGCACTTTGCGTCGACTTTGCAGGTCCAGCTTTGACATGATGATCTAACTAACACTAATATTGTAACTAATATTGTAACTGAAATATGTATGATCCTATGATGAGCGATTGCTTACTTCCCTTTCACTCTTAAAAAATTACTGAAAAAAAATGTGTATAAAAAGGTATATGTAGTATATGTTTGTTTAGTGAGCATTCATGCTGTCATTTTTTCCTAATGTGAACTATGGTGGAAATGTGCTGTCCTAAATGGACTTGCCCATATATGTTGTAAAGCCTTTTTTTTGTACACCTGCTCATCAACTGACAGTGAAGTACACAAAGACACAGACACACACACACACACACACACACAGACACCTGTAATATTCTTGTTTTCATGTTGTTGCTGATATCCATCAGTGTTGTTCATATTGCTACATTGTGTTGACATGATTGTTGCTTTTAAACGAATGTTAACTTAATGTTTATTGTCTGCATCCTATTGGACTACTGGATGTTAATGTGTAACACGTTTCCCTGTTTATGTGCTTTAGCAATACTGTATGTCAATATGGTCATGCTAGTAAAGCCTCTTTGAATTGAATTTCTTTTCTGATTTGGTTTATTTTACCTAAATGGATACAGGGTAGTGTGTTTTGTTTATAAATCACTCAGAAAGTTTTCTTTCTTAAAACAAAATGTGGAATCAACTGTCCACAGTAGTGGGGCTTCCATAAATAGGAAATGGCACATTGTTGTACCCTTTGTTGTATCCTGGAGTTTTGTTCACATTGAATATGAACCCTGTATTTGTACCCTGTACTTTTTAATTTTTTTTTATTTATTTATTTTTTCATTTTTATGGCACTATCTCTCTTGCATCTGCACTCTTGTACAAAATACGTGTTATAATAAATGTCATATGATTTTAAAGTAAAATAAAGTTTATAATCTTTGAATATCATGTGTTGCCAGTTTTTTTATGTGTGCCCCCCTGATTAAACACTGGCCCCTCCTTGGCCCCCCTAGTAAAATGTGTCTAGAACCGCCACTGCTCCCCTTTATTTGTTGCTAGGGATTTGTTGCTTTTTAAAGGCAGTCGCCTGTTACCCAGAAATGATTTGGTATTGATATAAATAATTTAATAAATACAGATTACACCAACTGGTTATAGTCCAGTCTGTCAGCCTTCAAATAGAACAGCCTCTTTTTCCTTCTCTTTTCTTCTCTCTGACAGAGTCCTTAAATGGCCGTAATCCTCCTCCTTAGAAGGCAGTGACCTTGAATGCGTCATCTTCCCTGCCGTCTCCTGTCTCTGGTTTCAACGGAGCGTTTCCCACCTGTATCTCCACCTGGTTCCTGTGAGCGAACATCTGGTTGATCTCCAGGAAGGTCTTGTTCTTGGTCTCCGGGACGACCAGCCAGATGTAGACCAGAGTCGCCAAGCAGATGAAGCAGAAGATGATGAAACTGTTGGGGCCCAGGCCTCTCTGGAGGGCAGAGATAGATATATACAGTACCAGTCAAAAGTTTGGACACACCTACTCATTCAAGGGCTTTTCTTTATTTTTACTATTTTCTACACTGTAGAATAAGAGTGAAGACATCAAAACTATGAAATAACACATATGGAATCATGAAGTAACCAAAAAAGTGTTAAACAAATCAAAATATATTTTATATTTGAGATTCTTCAAATAGCCACCCTTTGCCTTGATGACAGCTTTGCACACTCTTGGCATTCATTCAGCGAGGACTGTGAAGTGTCACACACAGGTACAAACACACGCATACAAACACACGTAACACACACACTATACACACACGTACACCTGGATTGTGTGTTGTAGTAGAGCAGTGGCCTGAGGTCACACACTTCATGTATTGTGAAATCTGTTGTAAAATGTTTTTTTTATGTTTAACAATTGTATTATAATGTATATTAATGCCTTCATTTTTGCTGGACCCCAGGAAGAGACAACAGCTTTATGGGGATCCATAATAAATACAAATACAAATGGTCCAAAACCATTACTGAGACTCTTATGGACATCAAAATGGCTTCTTTCACTATGAACAATATATCCAGAATCTCTCTTTGTTGATATGGCCATTATTGAGACTTAAATACATCAAAAATGGCTTATTTTCTGCTGGGAGAACTGACCTCCATGAAGGGGAACACCAGTCCCACAGTGAAGTTGGACAGCCAGTGGATCGACCCTGCCACCATGAAGGCTGCTGGTCTCGACGACTGGCGGAACATCTCTGTGGTCACCACGTAGGGAATAGGACCTTCGGACAGAGGTCAGAGGTTAGTCTCCCTAGACATCCGGGTTGCCTCCCACAATGTTCCAATGTTCCGGCTTAACACGTCTGTACGTAACAGAACGTCATTTTGGCATAGAGGAAGTACGTCACTGCCTTATCCTCTTTTTGCCGACGTCCCCCAAACACAAAATAGTAGCTAGCAAGATAGAGATTACAGAGGTTATTTTTAATGAGTGTATTTCGAAAGTGGCTAGTTTGTATCGACTACCTTCACTAAAACTACTGCAAAGGTTTTGCCTGCAAACTTTCCTATCACGATGTTCTGGCATGTCTGCCTCGTGATTTGTGAAGAGGAACCAGACCATATTCCCTGCTGTTGCCTAGTGTCAGGATTCTGAGACTAGTAGGAGGTCTGTGTTAGAGACTAGTGAGAGGTCTACGTTAGAGACTAGTGAGAGGTCTGTGTTAGAGACTAGTGAGAGGTCTATGTTAGACTAGTGAGAGGTCTATGTTAGACTAGTGAGAGGTCTATGTTAGACTAGTGAGAGGTCTACGTTAGACTAGTGAGAGGTCTATGTTAGACTAGTGAGAGGTCTACGTTAGAGACTAGTGAGAGATCTACGTTAGAGACTAGTGAGAGGTCTACGTTAGAGACTAGTGAGAGGTCTACGTTAGAGACTAGTGAGAGGTCTACGTTAGAGACTAGTGAGAGGTCTACGTTAGAGACTAGTGAGAGGTCTACGTTAGAGACTAGTGAGAGGTCTACGTTAGAGACTAGTGAGAGGTCTACGTTAGAGACTAGTGAGAGGTCTATGTTAGACTAGTGAGAGGTCTACGTTAGAGACTAGTGAGAGGTCTACGTTAGAGACTAGTGAGAGGTCTACGTTAGAGACTAGTGAGAGGTCTACGTTAGACTAGTGAGAGGTCTGTGTTAGACTAGTGAGAGGTCTATGTTAGACTAGTGAGAGGTCTACGTTAGAGACTAGTGAGAGGTCTACGTTAGACTAGTGAGAGGTCTGTGTTAGACTAGTGAGAGGTCTACGTTAGAGACTAGTGAGAGGTCTGTGTTAGACTAGTGAGAGGTCTGTGTTAGACTAGTGAGAGGTCTACGTTAGAGACTAGTGAGAGGTCTACGTTAGACTAGTGAGAGGTCTATGTTAGACTAGTGAGAGGTCTGTGTTAGAGACTAGTGAGAGGTCTACGTTAGACTAGTGAGAGGTCTGTGTTAGACTAGTGAGAGGTCTGTGTTAGAGACTAGTGAGAGGTCTACGTTAGACTAGTGAGAGGTCTGTGTTAGACTAGTGAGAGGTCTGTGTTAGAGACTAGTGAGAGGTCTACGTTAGACTAGTGAGAGGTCTGTGTTAGACTAGTGAGAGGTCTACGTTAGACTAGTGAGAGGTCTATGTTAGACTAGTGAGAGGTCTATGTGAGCAATGTGAGTAGGAGTTAGACTGGACGGCGAAGAAGAAGAAGGAGAACTGTTAAACATGGTGCAGAATATTGTGAGAACGGCGATAACTGAGGAATGCAGGGAGTAGGCTAGGATAAGAAAGTGTGTGTGTGAACTGATGGTCAGGAGAGCGTGCCGTCTTTAGCCAACTCTCTTGCTATCTCTCTCAGAATTACCTTCTTGATCCAAACCAGTCAGGTTTCAAGACTGGTCATTCAACAAGTGAGAGGTATATGCTAGAGACTAGTGAGAGGTCTGTGTTAGACTAGTGAGAGGTCTACGTTAGAGACTAGTGAGAGGTCTACGTTAGAGACTAGTGAGAGGTCTACGTTAGAGACTAGTGAGAGGTCTACGTTAGACACTAGTGAGAGATCTATGTTAGAGACTAGTGAGATATCTATGTTAGACTAGTGAGAGGTCTATGTTAGAGACTAGTGAGATATCTATGTTAGACTAGTGAGAGGTCTATGTTAGACTAGTGAGAGATCTATGTTAGACTAGTGAGAGGTCTATGTTAGACTAGTGAGAGATCTATGTTAGAGACTAGTGAGATATCTATGTTAGACTAGTGAGAGGTCTATGTTAGACTAGTGAGAGATCTATGTTAGACTAGTGAGAGGTCTATGTTAGACTAGTGAGATATCTATGTTAGACTAGTGAGAGGTCTATGTTAGACTAGTGAGAGATCTATGTTAGAGACTAGTGAGAGGTCTATGTTAGACTAGTGAGAGGTCTATGTTAGAGACTAGTGAGATATCTATGTTAGACTAGTGAGAGGTCTATGTTAGACTAGTGAGAGATCTATGTTAGAGACTAGTGAGAGGTCTATGTTAGAGACTAGTGAGAGGTCTACATTAGAGACTAGTGAGAGGTCTACGTTAGAGACTAGTGAGAGGTCTACGTTAGAGACTAGTGAGAGGTCTACATTAGAGACTAGTGAGAGGTCTATGTTAGACTAGTGAGAGGTCTATGTTAGAGACTAGTGAGAGGTCTACGTTAGAGACTAGTGAGAGGTCTATGTTAGACTAGTGAGAGGTCTACGTTAGAGACTAGTGAGAGGTCTACGTTAGAGACTAGTGAGAGGTCTACGTTAGAGACTAGTGAGAGGTCTATGTTAGACTAGTGAGAGGTCTATGTTAGAGACTAGTGAGAGGTCTACGTTAGAGACTAGTGAGAGGTCTACGTTAGAGACTAGTGAGAGGTCTATGTTAGACTAGTGAGAGGTCTACATTAGACTAGTGAGAGGTCTATGTTAGACTAGTGACAGGTCTACGTTAGAGACTAGTGAGAGGTCTACGTTAGAGACTAGTGAGAGGTCTACGTTAGAGACTAGTGAGAGGTCTATGTTAGACTAGTGAGAGGTCTACATTAGACTAGTGAGAGGTCTATGTTAGACTAGTGACAGGTCTACGTTAGAGACTAGTGAGAGGTCTGTGTTAGAGACTAGTGAGAGGCCTACGTTAGAGACTAGTGAGAGGTCTGTGTTAGAGACTAGTGAGAGGCCTACGTTAGATACTAGTGAGAGGTCTACGTTAGAGACTAGTGAGAGGTCTACGTTAGAGATGAGTGAGAGGTCTATGTTAGACTAGTGAGAGGTCTACATTAGATACTAGTGAGAGGTCTACATTAGAGACTAGTGAGAGGTCTATGTTAGACTAGTGAGAGGTCTATGTTAGACTAGTGAGAGGTCTATGTTAGACTAGTGAGAGGTCTATGTTAGAGACTAGTGAGAGGTCTATGTTAGACTAGTGAGAGGTCTATGTTAGAGACTAGTGAGAGGTCTATGTTAGACTAGTGAGAGGTCTATGTTAGACTAGTGAGAGGTCTATGTTAGACTAGTGAGAGGTCTATGTTAGAGACTAGTGAGAGGTCTACGTTAGAGACTAGTGAGAGGTCTATGTTAGACTAGTGAGAGGTCTACGTTAGAGACTAGTGAGAGGTCTACGTTAGAGACTAGTGAGAGGTCTATGTTAGACTAGTGAGAGGTCTATGTTAGACTAGTGAGAGGTCTACGTTAGAGATGAGTGAGAGGTCTATGTTAGACTAGTGAGAGGTCTACATTAGATACTAGTGAGAGGTCTACATTAGAGACTAGTGAGAGGTCTATGTTAGACTAGTGAGAGGTCTATGTTAGACTAGTGAGAGGTCTATGTTAGACTAGTGAGAGGTCTATGTTAGAGACTAGTGAGAGGTCTACGTTAGAGACTAGTGAGAGGTCTATGTTAGACTAGTGAGAGGTCTACGTTAGAGACTAGTGAGAGGTCTACGTTAGAGACTAGTGAGAGGTCTACGTTAGAGACTAGTGAGAGGTCTATGTTAGACTAGTGAGAGGTCTACATTAGACTAGTGAGAGGTCTATGTTAGACTTGTGAGAGGTCTACGTTAGAGATGAGTGAGAGGTCTATGTTAGACTAGTGAGAGGTCTACATTAGATACTAGTGAGAGGTCTACATTAGAGACTAGTGAGAGGTCTATGTTAGACTAGTGAGAGGTCTATGTTAGACTAGTGAGAGGTCTATGTTAGACTAGTGAGAGGTCTATGTTAGAGACTAGTGAGAGGTCTACGTTAGAGACTAGTGAGAGGTCTATGTTAGACTAGTGAGAGGTCTATGTTAGAGACTAGTGAGAGGTCTACGTTAGAGACTAGTGAGAGGTCTACGTTAGAGACTAGTGAGAGGTCTATGTTAGACTAGTGAGAGGTCTACATTAGACTAGTGAGAGGTCTATGTTAGACTAGTGACAGGTCTACGTTAGAGACTAGTGAGAGGTCTGTGTTAGAGACTAGTGAGAGGCCTACGTTAGAGACTAGTGAGAGGTCTGTGTTAGAGACTAGTGAGAGGCCTACGTTAGATACTAGTGAGAGGTCTACGTTAGAGACTAGTGAGAGGTCTACGTTAGAGATGAGTGAGAGGTCTATGTTAGACTAGTGAGAGGTCTACATTAGATACTAGTGAGAGGTCTACATTAGAGACTAGTGAGAGGTCTATGTTAGACTAGTGAGAGGTCTATGTTAGACTAGTGAGAGGTCTATGTTAGACTAGTGAGAGGTCTATGTTAGAGACTAGTGAGAGGTCTATGTTAGACTAGTGAGAGGTCTATGTTAGAGACTAGTGAGAGGTCTATGTTAGACTAGTGAGAGGTCTATGTTAGACTAGTGAGAGGTCTATGTTAGACTAGTGAGAGGTCTATGTTAGAGACTAGTGAGAGGTCTACGTTAGAGACTAGTGAGAGGTCTATGTTAGACTAGTGAGAGGTCTACGTTAGAGACTAGTGAGAGGTCTACGTTAGAGACTAGTGAGAGGTCTATGTTAGACTAGTGAGAGGTCTATGTTAGACTAGTGAGAGGTCTACGTTAGAGATGAGTGAGAGGTCTATGTTAGACTAGTGAGAGGTCTACATTAGATACTAGTGAGAGGTCTACATTAGAGACTAGTGAGAGGTCTATGTTAGACTAGTGAGAGGTCTATGTTAGACTAGTGAGAGGTCTATGTTAGACTAGTGAGAGGTCTATGTTAGAGACTAGTGAGAGGTCTACGTTAGAGACTAGTGAGAGGTCTATGTTAGACTAGTGAGAGGTCTACGTTAGAGACTAGTGAGAGGTCTACGTTAGAGACTAGTGAGAGGTCTACGTTAGAGACTAGTGAGAGGTCTATGTTAGACTAGTGAGAGGTCTACATTAGACTAGTGAGAGGTCTATGTTAGACTTGTGAGAGGTCTACGTTAGAGATGAGTGAGAGGTCTATGTTAGACTAGTGAGAGGTCTACATTAGATACTAGTGAGAGGTCTACATTAGAGACTAGTGAGAGGTCTATGTTAGACTAGTGAGAGGTCTATGTTAGACTAGTGAGAGGTCTATGTAGACTAGTGAGAGGTCTATGTTAGAGACTAGTGAGAGGTCTACGTTAGAGACTAGTGAGAGGTCTATGTTAGACTAGTGAGAGGTCTATGTTAGACTAGTGAGAGGTCTATGTTAGAGACTAGTGAGAGGTCTACGTTAGAGACTAGTGAGAGGTCTACGTTAGAGACTAGTGAGAGGTCTATTTTAGACTAGTGAGAGGTCTATGTTAGACTAGTGAGAGGTCTATGTTAGACTTGTGAGAGGTCTACGTTAGAGACTAGTAAGAGGTCTACGTTAGAGACTAGTGAGAGGTCTACGTTAGAGACTAGTGAGAGGTCTACGTTAGAGACTAATGAGAGGTCTACGTTAGAGACTAGTGAGAGGTCTATGTTAGACTAGTGAGAGGTCTATGTTAGAGACTAGTGAGAGGTCTACGTTAGAGACTAGTGAGAGGTCTACGTTAGAGACTAGTGAGAGGTCTACGTTAGAGACTAGTGAGAGGTCTACATTAGACTAGTGAGAGGTCTATGTTAGACTAGTGACAGGTCTACGTTAGAGACTAGTGAGAGGTCTATGTTAGACTAGTGAGAGGTCTACGTTAGAGACTAGTGAGAGGTCTACGTTAGAGACTAGTGAGAGGTCTACGTTAGAGACTAGTGAGAGGTCTATGTTAGACTAGTGAGAGGTCTACATTAGACTAGTGAGAGGTCTATGTTAGACTTGTGAGAGGTCTACGTTAGAGACTAGTGAGAGGTCTACGTTAGAGACTAGTGAGAGGTCTACGTTAGAGACTAGTGAGAGGTCTACGTTAGAGACTAGTGAGAGGTCTACGTTAGACTAGTGAGAGGTCTACATTAGACTAGTGAGAGGTCTATGTTAGACTTGTGAGAGGTCTACGTTAGAGACTAGTGAGAGGTCTACGTTAGAGACTAGTGAGAGGTCTACGTTAGAGACTAGTGAGAGGTCTACGTTAGAGACTAGTGAGAGGTCTATGTTAGACTAGTGAGAGGTCTATGTTATAGCATCAACATCATCTCTGTAGTCACTGGGAATAGGACTTATAGGAACAGACATGTGGTCTATGACTAATGCTACAGTGTATAGGGGATGTATTCTATATGCACCAAAACCAATGTTTTTGACACGTTATTATGCTTCATGTGGCGACTTAAAAAGGCATTGGAATATTCAAACTATTACAGTGTCTGACCACAGATGAGGTTGACTTACTTGGTCCGATGGCGTGTCCGATAACATAGACGATGACACAGGCGATGCTGACATTGGACATCCACTCCACACTTTCCTGTATATTAACACAACTGGGGCTGTTATCGTAAACCAGCTGTGTTTACAGCTGTTCACTTCCTCTTTCTCTATCTGTCTCTCCCCCCCTCTCGCTTCCTCTCTCCTTGCCACCACTGATCCCATCCCCAGTAGATCCTTGCCACCACGGATCCCATCCCCAGTAGATCCCCTCCACCACTGATCCCATCCCCAGTAGATCCCCTCCACCACTGATCCCATCCCTAGTAGATCCCTGCCACCACTGATCCCATCCCCAGTAGATCCCCTCCACCACTGATCCCATCCCCAGTAGATCCCCTCCACCACTGATCCCATTCCCAGTAGATCCCCTCCACCACTGATCCCATTCCCAGTAGATCTCCTCCACCACTGATCCCATCCGTAGTAGATCCCCTCCGTAGTAGATCCCCTCCACCACTGATCCCATTCCCAGTAGATCTCCTCCACCACTGATCCCATCCGTAGTAGATCCCCTCCGTAGTAGATCCCCTCCACCACTGATCCCATCCGTAGGAGATCCCCTCCACCACTGATCCCATCCCCCGAATATCCCCTCCACCACTGCTCCCATGGTTCAAGTCTCATGCTCTGATATAAAAATTAAAATATATACAGGTTAAAAGTAATGACTAAATGTTCCACCCTTAAATATAGTTGTGAAATGTTCTTGTTTTAAGTGATTAGTACTTTCTTAGTAGTGACTAATTATTATACTCCGAAACTGTGTGAGATGTGTTAGAATCTACTACCTGGTAATGTGTGAGTGTAGGACCAGTAAAGATTATGACATTGTGTTACTATTTAGCAATGTGAGTAGGAGTTAGACCGGACGGCGAAGAAGAAGGAGAACTGTTAAACATGGTGCAGAATATTGTGAGAACGGCGATAACTGAGGAATGCAGGGAGTAGGCTAGGATAAGAAAGTGTGTGTGTGAACTGATGGTCAGAAGAGCGTGCCGTCTTTAGCCAACTCTCTTGCTATCTCTCTCAGAATGACCTTCTTGATCCAAACCAGTCAGGTTTCAAGACTGGTCATTCAACTGAGACTGCTCTTCTCTGTGTCACGGAGGCTCTCCGCACTGCTAAAGCTAACTCTCTCTCCTCTGCTCTTGTCCTTCTAGACCTGTCTGCTGCCTTTGATACTGTGAACCATCAGATCCTCCTCTCCACCCTCTCCGAGTTGGGCATCTCCGGCGCGGCTGATAGATTAATTATTAATGACTAATTATTACACCCTGAAACTGTGTATAATGTGTTAGAAATGTGTGAGTGTAGGACCAGTAAAGGCTATGGCATTGAGCCACTATTTAGCAATGTGAGTAAGAGTTAGGCCAGACAACAAAGACAACTGAGAAACTAAGATAAAGAGGCCTCCCAATTTAGGGAGGGGAGAAACTGTTATGAAAACATGGTGCAAAATATTTTTAGAACGGCAATAACTGAGTAAAGCAGGGAGTAGGATATGTGTGTGTGTGTGTGTGTATGTATGTGTGTATGCATGTGTGTATATGTGTGTGTGTGTGTGTGAACAGAAGGTCAGTAGAGCAGTTTTAGAGTGGAAAACTACAGCCTGCCTACAGAGGGAAGGGATTTATTTTTGTATGACGTATGAGTATAAAAGATGGACTCTGAAATTGTGATGGCAGAATTCTCAATGAATAAATATCTCTGACTATGCAGACCGGGACTCTGGCCGTTACTTAAATCCCAAAAGACTTACAACCTTTTGGGAGACGCACAGAGACACTAAAATAGTTTGTTAAATAATTCACTTAACAGCGGCTCACTCTTGGATTGCGTCCTACCTGACAAGTCGCTCCTACCAAGTGGCGTGGCGAGAATCTGTCTCCGCACCACGTGCTCTCACCACTGGTGTCCCCCAGGGCTCAGTTCTAGGCCCTCTCCTATTCTCGCTATACACCAAGTCACTTGGCTCTGTCATATCCTCACATGGCCTCTCCTATCATTGCTACGCAGACGACACACAACTAATCTTCTCCTTTCCCCCTTCTGATAACCAGGTGGCGAATCGCATCTCTGCATGTCTGGCAGACATATCAGTGTGGATGACGGATCACCACCTCAAGCTGAACCTCGGCAAGACGGAGCTGCTCTTCCTCCCGGGGAAGGACTGCCCGTTCCATGATCCTGCCATCACGGTTGACAACTCCGTTGTGTCCTCCTCCCAGAGTGCAAAAAGCCTTGGCGTGACCCAGGACAACACCCTGTCGTTCTCCGCTAACATCAAGGCGGTGCCCCGATCCTGTAGGTTCATGCTCTACAACATTCGGAGAGTACGACCCTGCCTTACACAGGAAGTGGCACAGGTCCTAATCCAGGCACTTGTCATCTCCCGTCTGGATTACTGCAACTCACTGTTGACTGGGCTCCCTGCCTGTGCCATTAAACCCCTACAACTCATCCAGAATGCCGCAGCCCGTCTGGTGTTCAACCTTCCCAAGTTCTCTCACGTCACCCCGCTCCTCCGCACCCTCCACTGGCTTCCAGTTGAAGCTCGCATCTGCTACAAGACCATGGTGCTTGCCTACGGAGCTGTGAGGGGAACGGCACCTCCGTACATTCAGGCTCTGATCAGTCCCTACACCCAAACGAGGGCATTGCGTTCATCCACCTCTGGCCTGCTGGCCCCCCTACCTCTGCGGAAGCACAGTTCCCGCTCAGCCCAGTCAAAACTGTTCGCTGCTCTGGCACCCCAATGGTGGAACAAGCTCCCTCACGACGCCAGGACAGTGGAGTCACTCACCACCTTCCGGAGACACTTGAAACCCCACCTCTTTAAGGTATACCTGGGATAGGATAAAGTAATCCTTCTACCCCCTTACCCCCCCCCAAAAAAATAAATTAAAAAAATAACATATTGTAAAGTGGTTATCCCACTGGCTATAAGGTGAATGCACCAATTTGTAAGTCGCTCTGGATAAGAGCGTCTGCTAAATGACGTAAATGTACATTTAAATACAGAGCAATTATAAAGTGGAAAACTACAGCCTGCCTACAGAGGGGAGGGATTTTCATATGACGTGTGCGTATATAAAAATATTGTACGACCATTTTGTGGCAGAATTCTCAATGAATAAATCTCTGACTATGCAGACTGGGACTCTGTCCGTTTCTTAAATCCAAAAGACTTACAACCTTTTGGGAGACGCACAGAGACACTGAAATAGTTTGCTAAATAATTCACATAACATGCTCTCAGCTCAGTCTGGTCCTGTGCCAACTGATGGATACCTGATTTATGAGACTATTCACTGCAGGTGCAATAAAACATTCACACTAAAGGCTTTAGGGGATATTGAGTTGGAGTTCTAGCTTGTAGTGTTTGGCTGGTGTTATGGGAGTTGGAGTTCTAGCTTGTAGTGTTTGGCTGGTGTTATGGGAGTTGGAGTTCTAGCTTGTAGTGTTTGGCTGGTGTTATGGGCGTTGGAGTTCTAGCTTGTAGTGTTTCGCTGGTGTTATGGGAGTTGGAGTTCTAGCTTGTAGTGTTTGGCTGGTGTTATGGGAGTTGGAGTTCTAGCTTGTAGTGTTTGGCTGGTGTTATGGGAGTTGGAGTTCTAGCTTGTAGTGTTTGGCTGGTGTTATGGGAGTTGGAGTTCTAGCTTGTAGTGTTTGGCTGGTGTTATGGGAGTTGGAGTTCTAGCTTGTAGCGTTTGGCTGGTGTTATGGGAGTTGGAGTTCTAGCTTGTAGTGTTTGGCTGTTGTTATGGGAGTTGGAGTTCTAGCTTGTAGCGTTTGGCTGGTGTTATGGGAGTTGGAGTTCTAGCTTGTAGTGTTTGGCTGGTGTTATGGGAGTTGGAGTTCTAGCTTGTAGCGTTTGGCTGGTGTTATGGGAGTTGGAGTTCTAGCTTGTAGCGTTTGGCTGGTGTTATGGGAGTTGGAGTTCTAGCTTGTAGCGTTTGGCTGGTGTTATGGGCGTTGGAGTTCTAGCTTGTAGTGTTTGGCTGGTGTTATGGGAGTTGGAGTTCTAGCTTGTAGTGTTTGGCTGGTGTTATGGGAGTTGTTCTAGCTTGTAGTGTTTGGCTGGTGTTATGGTAGCTTAGTGGGTAAGAGCGTTGTGCCAGTAACCGAAAGGTCGCTGGTTCTAATCCCCGAGCCGACTAGGTGAAAAATCTGTCGATGTGCCCTTAAGCAAGGCACTTAACCCTAATTGCTCCTGTAAGTCGCTCTGGATAAGAGTGTCTGCTAAATGACTAAAATGTAAAAAATGATGGGAGTTGTTCTAGCTTGTAGTGTTTGGCTGGTGTTATGGGAGTTGCAGCTTTTGTAGTGTGTCTCTAACGACACCATATTTACTATATAAGCCTAGCGCACTACCTTTGATCAGAGTGTGCACTACTTTGGACCAGACCCAACGGCTTTGGTCCAAAGTAGGGCACTATGAAGGGAAAAGGGTGTGATTTGGTTACAGTGTAGCTTACCTGGAAGGTTAGGGTCACAGTGAGGAGAGCACAGGACACACAGCAGATCCCAAACCCAACGAGGAGGAGCAGCCTCCTGCCTGTGGCCTCCACAATGAAGACCTGTTGTATCACAGTCACAAACATGAAGGAAAGGTCAAAGGTGACTCCTGAAAACTGGAAGCATTTACTTGTGAGACTATGGCTGCGTTACGTAGGCAGCCCAATTCTGATATTTTCCCACTAATTCGTCTTTTGGCCAATCAGATCAGCTCTTTTGCCAATAATTGGGGAAAATATCAGAATTGAGCTGGCTGTATAAACCCAGACCTTTGTTTCTACAGTCCTTAAAATGTGTGTTCAATTGAACTGAGCCCTTCAGTACAGTGTTGGAAGACCGGAGAGAGGGTACTTCGTACCGCAGTGATGGTCATGAAGACGTTGACAGCCCCAGTTCCGACTGTGACGTACTGGATGTCACTCTCCTTGACTCCCGCTGAGCTGTAGATACTGTCAGCATAGTAGTAGATCTGAGGAGAGGAAAGATAGGGTCTAGCTTCAGATAAGGATAATTTAATGCCATAATTAGGGTTGCAAAATTCCCAGGTTTTCCAGAAATCCTGGTTGGATTTTTTCCGGATTCCTGGCTTATTCCCTCCCAATTCAGGGAATCTTCCATCCAGGATTTCTAGAAAACCTGTGAATTTTGGGAAAGTTACCAGAATTTTGCAACCCTAGTCAAAATAATGATTTCTCCCACTACAGGGCCATCCAATCCATGTAATTCAGTGTAGAATCAACATTAGTTGGTTGGTTCAGGGGACCAAGCTTGTGTGAGGAATAAACTTGTCTGAGACCTGAAGACTTGCTATATTGCCTTGGCTTTAGCTCTGCGGGATAACACTGTCTTGTGGTACGCAGGACGCCTAGGTTCGAATTCCGGTCGGTTACACCTATAGAGATGTATAGAGATTGCAACCGTTGTATCTATCCCATTAAGGCATCTGTGAGCACAGGTAGCGCCGTTGAGGCCATCTCCATTTTGAAGTAGTTAATTTTCTTCTTCTACTTCTATAAGTTGGTAAACAAACTGAAAGGAAGCATACTGCCACCTATAGTGTGTCGTTTGAACAGGTATAAAGCCAAGGTTGGCGATTTACTGCCACCTGCAGTTAGGGAATGTTTTCTCACAGGTATAATTAATTGGCTGATCCCTCCTGATGACCTGGATGGCATCATGTGATCTTTAACCCATAGGAAGACCCACCCAGTTGACTACTTAAAAATGGTGAAAGTCATCAATGGCAGTGCCCATGCTAAAACAGGCTTTTGGCCACTAGAGTTCTCTATACATCACTATGGTTACACCTTACCTCATTGACCCCAGACAGCTGCTCGTGTTCACACACATTGGACTGTGTTAGCCCGCTGATCTAAAGCCTAGCCATTAGCTCAGGTCTTCTGGCCTCATACGCAATGCCTTACCGCGTTGACCCCAGACAGCTGTTGACCCATGTTCATGGCTACGATGGAGACGAGCTGCCAGCGCAGGGAGCGCAGGGACAGGAGGTTGAGGACAGACAGACGGCCCTCGGCTTGTTCTGATTGGTGCTCCAGCCTCATCTCATCCAGCTCTTCGTCCACATCCTCCCAGCCTCGCAGACGCTGCAGTGCTGAGGGAGAGGAACGCACAACCTCCTCATCAATCAGTCAGTCAACCAACCAACCCCAACCAAGCATTATTTATCTATCTACCCCCCCCCCCCCCCCCATATATCTCAGATGAAGTTGCCTTGCTCAAAGGGCCAACCATTTGCCAGAGTTTTTCACCTAGTCGACTAAGGGGATTCGAATCCAGCCACAAATTTTGGGGAAACTGGCCCCAAAGCTACCATACCGCATTGTGCTGTCCTCTCATCTCATCTCCTGGGGTCATCCTCTCTCTCTCTCTCTCTCTGGCTCTCATCTCTCTCTCTCTCCTCTCTCTCTTCCTCTCTCTCTCTCTCTCTCTTCTCTCTCTCTCTCTCCTCTCTCTCTTCTCTCTCGCTCTCTACTCCTCTCTCTCTCGCTCTCGCTCCTCTCTCTCTCCTCTCTCTCGGCCTCTCTCTCTCTCTCTCGGCCTCTCTTTGTGTGTGAAAATGGCACAGGTCTGAAAATTAATAAAATGGCCGTGTGTTACCTCTCCGGGCGGTCTTGTCGTCTCCTCTCTGGATCAGCATGTACCTGGGGCTCTCTGGGAAGAACGGCAGCAGCAACAGCTCTATCAGGGCAGGGATACCTGTTAGACCCAGCATGAGAGGCCAGCCTGGGGAGAGGACATCACACACACACATATTATTGAGAGGAGCACGGTCAGTCAGCCACAAACTCTCCGGCCACAGGTCAACCTCTCTAACCTCTAGGCCGGCGGTTCCCAAACTTGGGGTTGGGTTGGATGGTGTTGGGTAGGCCTGTGTGACATTAAAAAACGTGACTTTTCAATTAGTTGCGGTCCCCCCAGAATTCCCTGATATCAGTGTGGGGTTGTGTACCAGAACATTTCGTGAACCTCTGCTCGTGGCTGCCCTACCTGTGTTGTTTCCCAGAATGCTCCTGATGCCTAACACCTGTGCGCTGAGGATCCCGATGGTGATGAAGAGCTGAGGCAACGACGCCGATCGCTCCTCTCAGGTTCTTAGGAGACAGTTCACCCAGGTACATGGGCACCACGTTGGATGAAAGGCCTAGAGGAAGGGCGACGGCAGAGAAGGCATCAGGCCACAGACATTTCGATTGTAAATCTGATTGCTAAATAAATAGGGTCATTAATCAAGTTTAATAAGAAAATATTAAATGAGATAAGATATACAAACTTCTCTGTCCATTAAATGGGATCAAAATTGGGTTTTCCTGACCTGCGCAGATCCCCACCATAACCCTAGCCACGATGATGATCTCGTATGACTTAGCGATCTCGCTCACTCCCATCATCACAGCAGGAACAATGGAGAAGATGTTGTTGAAGAGGAGGGTGCCTTTCCTGTCAAACAATTATTAATTGGAGATAAACAACAATATATTTCATGATGATCAAAGCTAGCTATAGTATGTCTTTTTTTCCCTAGATTTCAATTGATCATTTACAAGCATATTCCAGTTGTATTTTGGTTTATAAACTGATACTTATTGGTTTATAGACAATTTATACACCTTTAGTAACCAGTCATTACCTTCCTAGTTTGTTGACGAGCGGGGCCACCATCAGTGAGCCAAAGAAACCTCCCAGGGGATACATGGAGACAGACAGGGACCACAGGAGGGTTAGGAAGCTATCCTCCATGGGTCGGCCATAACGCTCCAAGTAGGTGGTGTTGTAGAACTGCTGCATCAACTGGACAAAGACAGATTCTTATTTTATTTTAAACTTTTTTTTTTATCCAGGAAGACCCATTAAGGTCAAAATACCTATTTTACAAGGGAGACCTGGTCAAAATGGCTGGAATGTAAAGCCACCCATGACTTATATGACAGTGGGAAAAATAGATTCTGTGTGAATACAACAATTCAATTTAATTAAGCCCAAAGACAATAGATAGAAATGTGAACACTTTCAGACGGTGAAGTTTCAGTTTCAGTTTATTCAGGTGAATAGATTGGGTATTGAAATGAATGTATTATGTCATTGTTTACTTAAGATAAATTCAGTGTGGTTTAAACTACCAGAGATGGAGAGTTGACCACAGCCACATTGTACCCATACTGGAAGGATGATCCAAAGGCAGATATAAGGGTAGCCAAGGCCAGGACCACAGTCAGCTTCTGTCACATAAAAGGAGAACATACTGTAGGAATTATCACAATAATCTGCAAATAACCACACATTTCCTACCTTATTGCTAACATTTTTCATGCTGTAGTTATGTTTCCTATTTAGTAACATAGTATCCATGTGCTAAGCACAACTGAGGTTGTTTTAAAAAAAAATCCAACATCAAAGTATACAACATAACAACATCAAAATGTAAAGTCATTGGCTCACCCCTCTCCTCTCTTCCAAAGGTTTCCCACAATTGTTTTCTTCTTCCATGGCTCTGCACTTCAGCTTTCTATTGTCACCTCTCTCAGCCACAGATAGCAGACCAGTGCTAGTCTGACTTCTCCGCTGGATTCAGATGTACTTTGGACATTGGATCAGAGGATCAGACGGTAGATTAGAGTTTACTACCCCTTACACTACAAAATCTTCAGTCTTCAGAAAGTGTTCACACCACTTTTTCCACATTTTGTTGCGTTACAGCCTGAATTTAAAATGGATTCAATGGAGATGTTGTGTTACTGACCTACACACAATACCCCATAATGTCAAAATGGAATTACGTTTTCATTTTATTTTTTATTACAAATGAAAGCTGAAATGTCTTGAGTCAAGTATTAAACCCCTTTGTTATGGCAAGCCTAAATAAGTTCAGGAGTAAGAATGTCCATAACAAGTCACATAATAAGTTACATGGACAATTTAACATGATTTTTGAATGACTACCTCATCTCTGTACCCCACACACACACAATTATCTGTAAGGTCCCTCCGTCGAGCAGTGAATTTCAAACACAGATTCAACCACAAAGACCGTGGAGGTTTTCCAATGCCCCGCAAAGAAGGGCACATATTGGTAGATGGGTAAAAAAAAAAAGCAGACATTGAATATGCCTTTGAGCATGGTGACGTTATTAATTACACTTTGGATGGTGTATCAATACACCCAGTCACTACAGAATACAGGCGTCCTTCCTAACTCAGTTGCCGGAGAGGAAGGAAACCGCTCAGGGATTTCACCATGAGGCCAATGGTGACCTTAAAACAGTTACAGAGTTGAATGGCTGTGATAGGAGAAAACTGAGGATGGATCAACAACATTGTAGCTACTCCACAATACTAACCTAATTGACAGAGTGAAAAGATGGAAGCTTGTACAGAATAAAAATATTCCAAACATGCATCCTGTTTGCAACAAGTCATTAAAGCAAAAGGAAGCAAAGAAATTAACTTTATGTCCTGAATACAAAGCGTTATGTTTGGGGCAAATCCAACATATTCATATTTTCAAGCCTGTTGGTGGCTGCGTCATGTTATGGGTATGCTTGTCATTGGCAAGAACTAGGGAGTTTTTTAGGATAAAAAGAAACGTAATAGAGCTAAGCACAGGCAAAATCCTAGAAGAAGACCTGGTTCAGTTTTACATCAGACACTGGGAGATGAAAAGGAGCTACAGGAAAAGGAGGGCCGAGCACACCTCCATTTACATTGAAGGGGCTGTAGTGGAGCGGGTCGAGAGCATCAAATTCATTGGCGTCCACATTACTAAGGATCTATCGTGGTCCAAAAACACCAAGACAGTCGTGGTCCTCTGTAGCTCAGCTGGTAGAGCACGGCGCTTGTAACGCCAAGGTAGTGGGTTCGATCCCCGGGACCACCCATACACAAAAAAATGTATGCACGCATGACTGTAAGTCGCTTTGGATAAAAGCGTCTGCTAAATGGCATATTATAAGAGGGCACGACAAGATTTGGCATGGGACCTCAGATCCTCAGAAAGTTCTAAAGCTCCACCATCGAGAGCATCCTGACTGGTTGTATCACCGCTTGGTATGGCAACTGCTCGGCATCTGACTGCAAGGCGCTGCAAAGGGTAGTGAGTACGTCACTGGGGCCGAGCTTCATGCCATCCGGGACCTCTATACCAGGCGTGTCAGAGGAAGGCCCTAAAAATGGTAAAAGACTCCAATTCTCTCTGCTACTGCATAGCAAGCGATACCAGAGCACCAAGTCCGGGACCAAAAGGCTCCTTAACCTTTTACTGCGGTGGGCTAAATCAGGGTCACACATAGTGTTTCTTAAACAAATCTACTTTGAAACACATACACATGGTTATGGGCTTAAAAAAAATAAGACACCTGTACCATGTCAGATATAGAATTGAAATGTATTCAATTTTGAGTTTGCATCCCAATATTTCACTTTGTATACAGTGCCTTCAGAAAGTATTCAGACCCCTTGACTTTTTCCCCACAGCATGATGCTGCCACCACCATGCTTCACCGTAGGGATGGTGCCAGGTTTCCTCCAGACGTGACGTTTGGCATTCAGGCCAAAGAGTTCAATCTTGGTTTCATCAGACCAGAGAATCTTGTTTCTCATGGTCTGAGAGTCTTTAGGTACCTTTTGGCAAACTCTAAGCGGGCTGTCATGTCCTTTTACTGAGGAGTGGCTTCAATCTGGCCACTCTACCATAAAGGCCTGATTGGTGGAGTGCTGCAGAGATGGTTGTCCTTCTGGAAGGTTCTCCCATCTCCACAGAGGAACTCTAGAGCTCTGTCAGAGTGACCATCGGGTTCTTGGTCACCTCCCTGACCAAGGCCCTTCTCTCCCCGATTGCCCAGTTTGGCCAGGGCGGCCAGCTCTAGGAAGAGTCTTGGTGGTTCCAAACTTCTTCCATTTAAGAATGATGGAGGCCACTGTGTACTTGGGGACCTTCAATGCTGCAGACATTGTTTGGTACCCTTCCTCAGATCTGTGCCTCGACACAATCCTGTCTCGGAACTCTACGGACAATTGCTTCGACCTGATGGCTTGGTTTTTGCTCTGACATGCACTGTCAACTGTGGGACTTTATATAGACAAGTGTGCGCCTTTGCAAATCATGTCCAATCAATTGAATTTACCAAAGGTGGACTCCAATCAAGTTGTAGAAACATCTCAAGGATGATCAATGGAAACATGATGCACCTGAGCTCAATTTTGAGTCTCATAGCAAAGGGTCTGAATACTTATGTAAATAAGGTATTTCTGTTTTTTTATTTGTAATACATTTGCTAACATTTCTGAAAACCTGTTTCCGCTTTGTCATTATGGGGTATTGTGTGTAGATTGCTGAGGTTCCTTCACACTCTTCACATACGCTGCTGCTACTCTCTGTTTATTATCTATGCATAGTCACTTTACCCCTACCTACGTGTACATATTACCTCAATTACCTCAACTAACCCGTACCCCTGCACATTGACTCGGTACCGGTACCCCGTTGTCTATAACCTTGTTATTGTTATTTTATTGTGTTCCTTTAGTTTATTTAGGACATTGTTCTTACTTACTTTTTAAAAAAGTCTGCATTGTTGGTTAAGGGGCTTGTCAGCATTTTGCAGTAAGTTCTAATACATCTGTTGTATTCGGCGCATGTGACAAATAAAATTAGATTTTGATTTGATTTGAAATTCACCCTTCTGCAGAACAATAACCTAAAACACAAGGCCAAATATACACTGGAGTTGCTTACCAAGATGACATTGAATATTCTTGAGTGGCCTAGTTACAGTTTTGACTGAAAAATCTGCTTGAAAAATCTGTGGCAAGACTTGATAATGATGGCCGTCTAGCAATGATCAGCAACCAATTTACAATCCAGGTGTGCAAAGCTCTTAGAGACTTACCCAGAAAGACCTCACAGCTGTAATCGCTGCCAAAGGTGATTCTAACATGTATTGACTCAGGGGTGTGAATACTTACGTAAATGAGATATTTCTGTATTTCATTTTCAAGAAATTTGCAAACATTTCCAAAAACATGTTTTCATGGGGTATTGTGTGTAGATGGGTGAGAAAAAAAGTAATTAATTAATATTTAAAAAATAGATTTAATCCATTTAGATTTCAGGCTGTAACACAACAAAATGTGGAATAGGTCAAGCAGCCTGGCAGCCAAGGGGTATGGATACTGAAGACACTGTATGTGCCACGTTGAATAAAATAAACTAATCTGAATTTATAGTCTGAAAAATAGTCTGTGTTTAGTTGGCTTGGTTTTGATAAAGATTCAAGTGCATTCAGAAGGTCTGTCCACATTAAAGTTGCTCAAACTTATCCATGACATTTATTTAACCTTTATTTTAACAGGGAAGACATATTGAGACCTAGTTCTCTTTTACAAATGCACCCTGCATATACACACAACATAAATGTACACATTATACCCTACCTATATGTATATATATACACATTAAAATACAAAAACACAGTCATGGGAAGCACAAATAAAACATCACAAATCACCCAGAAAAACAGTCACATTCCTCCACAAATAAGTCCCCAATAAATACTTTATTATTGCCCGAACGGCACTAGAACATCAAGACTAAATGGATTTTTTGATTTTGTTCCAGCAACACGGTGCATTAAAACTAAAAGCGGATTTACCATAGCTCGGTGGAGACCCTAGCAACCTAAAGAGTTAACCAATCCCGTGAACCGGTCAGGCAACTCAGATGTCTATGCTTCAACAGCAAAGTTAGATAAGATAAGAGTAATGTAGATATCTAGGTCTTAGTGAAGTCCAGCCAACCTTTTGATACAGGATGCAGTGACGAGTATCAAAAACTGTCACCTGTAACAAAACAAAGGGCACGAGGGTAGATGGCACCCCTGACTGAAGTGGTTGTTGTAATAGTGCTATGTACAGGTCTAAACCCCTGACTGGTTTACATTCTAAAATACATTTCTCAGATAGAAAAGAGCAAAGTTGTACATTTACCAACGATTCAAGAATCTCAGCTAGACAAGCAAGCCTTGAAATTGGGTGATAATTATAAAGGTCACTACATGAGGCACATGTTCTTTGTTATGCTATCTGTCTAAAACTCTATGAAGAGACATGAGAGGCATGGACTTTATGGCTCATCCACAGGGTAGTTATAGATGACATAACATACATAAATTGTAAAAACAGGAAGTGGAGAGACACTGGTTTAAAGTTGAGTTAAGGCTATTACAAGGTGCTCTAACTATTTATAATAATAATAATAATAAGCCAATTAGCAGACGCTTTTATCCAAAGCGACTTACAGTCATGTGTGCATACATTTTTACGTATGGGAGGTCCCGGGGACCTTCACAACACAACACTAAACAATACCTTCATTGCACTATAACGGTGACAAAACGGTGCCCACAAACCCAACAGCAGTCCCAACGCCATACCACTGCTACACCTGGCTATCAGCGGAGCCTTGTCTGGCAGCGAAACAGTTCATTCAGCCTCATTTACTGCCTTTAAAAATAGACCAGATTATTAGGGTGAGGCACATGGGCTACTAACAGTTTCCTTCACAACATACACTTAGTATTACTTTCTTAGCTACAGTATACATATCTCCCTGGCATATTACATCATTTATGCAGCAGCATACAATACATTTTTGGACTCACCTTGTTGTGCTGTGCCCACTTGAACAGGAAGGCGGCTCGCGGCAGTCCTTCGTGGGCAAATTTTGTCATCAAACTTTGTCATCAAAGTCTGGCATTCTCTGGATTTATGGTGCTTTCAAGACAACTGGGAACTCTGGAAAAAAAACAAGGTTGAATCATGATGACGGCAGTGATCTTCAGATCGTAGCTCTAGAAAGAGGCCCGAGTAAAACAAATATTTGAAATCTGTCCCCAAATGCAATATATTTTTACTTGAAATCCAATATTTAATAAAATCTCTAGAATTAGTCAATAACAAAAAAAACACTGTATACTTACAACTCCATCATATGTGTACAACTGTAACCCCTGACCTCTGTAACCCCTGACCTCTGTAACCCCTGACCTCTGTAACCCCTGACCTCTGTAACCCCTGACCTCTGTAACCCCTGACCTTATTTTATTTATTTTATTTTAGGTACTTAAACTTGAAAGTCCATTCTTGTGATTACATTTTTTTTACTTTAATGTTATTTTATGTTTCTTCAGAGAAAAAATATGTGTAGTGATGTCCTATGTTTTTTTGTGATTGTAATTAGAAATGTTATAATAATCAACAAAAAAAATAAAAATAAATAATAATAAACATTTAAAAAAATTTAAAAAAGAGGCCAGAGGTCCCGACTTACAATTCCGAGTTGGATGACCGTTCAAAACGTATTTTCCCAGTCTGAGCTCGTTTTTTCCAGAGTTCCCAGTTGTCTTGAACTCACTGAAGTCAGATTACCCAGTTCCAAGTTAACAGTTGTTTTGAGCGCAGCAGAAATCATGCTGGATTGACAGCATGGCCAATGTTGAATGTTTATCATTTTAAGCTTGGAATAGAGATCCTTAAACCCAGAATTGGGACCACACACCCACTCTTCTGAATAACAGGCTAGTGATTGCTTTGCAATGTCTGCAGTTAGCCACTGATTCCTTCCAAACCACTCATTGTTGAATTTGCCATTTCCAACTTGTGAAATGTTATGTCCAATGGCCGATGAGCACTGATTTGTTTTATCTATAATTTCTCTTAATTATTTATCTTCATATGACAAGGATTAAAAAGGATTTGCCAGTAGATTGTCGACTTGATTCATGATGATGACTGCTAGCTAAGCTTTTGAAAGTATGATGTAGATATAACGTGATTTGACGTCATTTTATCTGTGGCCAATGACCTTGAGCCTTCTTGGATGGGCACTTCTAATGTAACTCTATGGCAGCACCCAAGGGGCTTGAATTTCCGAGCTCTACCCTTAGATTTGGCGGTGACGTAGTGTCCCCATGAGTGACAGAACAATGAGCCAATCACGGCGCAACTAGAGAACATTACTAACCCCTACGCTCCGTATTTTCCACTGGCTGCCCCACCACCACATAAAAGCACTGAGCTAGGCTGAAACACCTGTATTTTGGAACTGCCTTACTCAAGAAAGCAAAAAAAAGAGACCATGTTTGTATGGAGGCTTTATTAACTCAATTATTATTTCTTTATTTTTTATATTGCTTGCAAATTGATATGTGACACATATTAATGCCAAAATAACATGCAAAACAGGCAATCCCCCCCCAAAACAATGTGGGGCTCAAAACAGGTGGGACTGTGCCCTGAATGACGGGTCGCCACTGGCTGGCTGGCAGGACCAGTGGGACCTAACGCTTTAGTATATGTGCTGCCATAGTGAGCACTTAAAGCTTTAACCCACAGTGGTGCCACATGACTTGAGATCCTGCTGCTACTATGTTCAATAGCACACATCGCCTCACTTTCACTTTATGCCTTGCTATTTTCATTAGCAGGGAGTTGACAGCAGATGGCGCCATCATGGACAATTTATTTATTTATTTATTTCATCTTTATTTAACCAGGTAAACCAGTTGAGAACAAGTTCTCATTTACAACTGCGACCTGGCCAAGATAAAGCAAAGCAGTGCGATAAAAACAACAACACAGAGTTACATATGGGGTAAAACAAAACAAAGTCAAAAATACAACAGAAATACATATAATATACAGTGTGCAAATTTAGCAAGTTATGGAGGTAAGGCAATAAAATAGGCTATAGTGCAAAATAATTACAATGTAGTATTAACACTGGAATGATGTGCAAGAGATGAGAATGGCTCTCATACACTTGCATGGCCCTCTGCCTCTGGTCTGTAGCTGCATGACAGTAGTAGGCTGCATCACAGCACTGGCTCTATCTCAATTCATCTTTCTCAATTCCTTGCACCCTCTCTCCTCGCGTCATTCTCAAAACCCATTGGAGAATAAATTCCTGAGGGTCGGGACCTTGGACCTTCTCCTCCTATACAGTTGAGAAGGAGGCGAAGAGATAGGATGCGAGGAATGCTTTAGCATTGCCCCTCCTCTCTAACATGGCCCCTCCTCTCTAACATGGCCCCAATCTCTCTAACATGGCCCCAATCTCTCTATCATGGCCCCTCCTCTCTAACATGGCCCCTCCTCTCTAACATGGCCCTTCCTCTCTAACATGGCCCCAATCTCTCTAACATGGCCCCTCCTCTCTAACATGGCCCCTCCTCTCTAACATGGCCCTTCCTCTAACATGGCCCTTCCTCTCTAACATGGCCCTTCCTCTCTAACATGGCCCCTCCTCTAACATGGCCCCTCCTCTCTAACATGGCCCCAATCTCTCTAACATGGCCCCTCCTCTCTAACATGGCCCCAATCTCTCTAACATGGCCCATCCTCTCTAACATGGCCCCTCCTCTAACATGGCCCCTCCTCTAACATGGCCCCTCCTCTCTAACATGGCCCCTCCTCTCTAACATGGCCCTTCCTCTCTAACATGGCCCCTCCTCTAACATGGCCCCTCTCATCAGTCAGGATGAAACACTGCAAGGGAAACACCCACTATTGCACTCCATGCACCAGAGAGCAATTTAGTCAGAGTTGGTTTGATTTAGTGTGTGATTCATTTAGCACAAGATGATTCATTCTCCAGGATATTCCTTTTCAAAAATGGAGGGCCAATCTCTAAATTGTCACTATAGGCCTTTTGCTGGATGATAATTTAATTGGAACATCATGCATGGACAAGACCAGATAATATTTTGCATGGGAAGTTTTTCCCGGAACAACATTTTCAACCGTGTGACAAGTTTATTGGACTGGAGTACACTCCTTTGGAATGAATGGCTTTACACGATAGAGCCTGGTGTGTAATAAGGAAAGTGGTACTAGGTTCATAACCTGTTACATAATACATAAATAAAAAATCTCATTACTTCGGGGAGGATAAATGAGAAATGTCATATAGCAGGCCTGCACTTCCACACAGTGAGAAACATGTGCATCCCTACAGAGTTTGAGACATAAAGACACTGAAACATGAGATGCAAGCTGATGATTTGACAAAAAAAAACCTATTGAACATCTGTGTTGTCGCAGAGGAGATCAGCAGCGGATATATACTGCACGTACTCAACTATGCGTCAGTTTCCTGCATCGTTACGTCACCCTCTCCGTGCCCATTCATGTTGGATCAATTCAACAACTTGTAGCCTACACATTTCTGTTGCATATGTGTTTTTTAGGCATGATATCCCTTACGGTTTGTGGGGTGATGGTAAGGTATTAAAAAACACCGCATCCTTTTTTTTCTAGGCGTTGTCGCAGTTGTGAGACCGCTGGAGAACGTGCAGTTCGTCTCGCACTCTCGTGCAGCGTGAGTCCATCCCAGCCAATCAGATAGCGAGGACGAAACCGCCGCTACACGCTCTTCCTGGATTCTGCCCATTTATCAGCACCGGGGACTGTCACGAGCGCCTTCTCTGTCGACCGAACGAGAGAGAACACTACACTTGCACACGGTTAGGCCAGATAAAGGTAAGATGAATACGTTATTTTCTTTATTATTTTGCGGAATTAGTTTACTTAAATCTAATAAAATATCCACTACTTTTGGACTATTTGTCTGATGACATTTTAGATGACATCTTGATGACATGTCCCCTTCGTCGTCATCATCATCATCATCACCGAAATCTAAATCTTTGCTCTTTTGTATTTTCATTTTCGAGCTTTCAGTTTTTTGGAACGCTATTCATGACATGATGGTGCCTGGCCATGTCTTGAAGCTTGGCAGCTAGTCTATTTTAAACCCTCCCGTCAGCTGGCGAGATGCGACTCATTTAGAAACAGCAGTGAGTGAGTCTGGAGGAGAGGAAAGGGCGTCAAGTTGCAACCACGCAGCTAGATAACAGGGTTTTCTCTCTACTGAAATACTCCGCCACACCTTTCTGTACCTTTTTGATAGATGAAGACAGTTCACTATTGTTGCTTGCCATTCACTGGTATGCAGTGTGGCCAACTACCACTTGGTACTAGATGTGGGGGGGGGTGTAGCTACAGAATGTTGCAATCTGTTGCTGATACAATGTAGCCAACTGTGGTTACTTTGTGGTTCCCTTTCAGAGATGTTGAGAAATCAATGCTACTATGTTTCCATTGCACATCGAATGTGGAATAGACATAGTGCACGTAAATCAATATTTAAATGACCTATGTGTTAGAGTTAATCATTAAACTTCTTGTCATACCCAGTCAGAGATAATTAAAACAGGTGAAGTCAAGAAGCTGAATTGAATCCTGGAATGTCAAGTCTTTTATTATTTATTTCATTGTGAGGAAGCCATTTAGGAGCCTATCAGCGAGTTCTAGCTACATATAGCTACATATTATAACTAATGTGTTATAGCTGTGTTATTATTACTACCACAGGATTTTGTTTTGTTTCTTTAAATGTCAGCTCACTTTTAGGTGCTGTGCGTCCAACTGTTGGCTAAACATTACTCCTGACCAGTGTTGTGAGTGCTATAGAGAGCAGGGTCCAGTCTGTGTATATATGCTTCTGTTTATGCTGACAGTTGCCCCCTCTGCCCTCCCTTTCTGTGCTTTGTAGCCAGTGGCAAGTTTCCACACTATGGACATTTAAGGCCAGAGGATTTTCGATTGGTCCAGCAGGGGGTTGGTTGGTGGAGTGTCTATCTGTCAGGCTTTAGTGGCTGGGGCTGGAACATGGGGTTCATTCATGCATTTATAACAGTGGGGGTAGATTAACTGAAGGCAAATCAGATAAAAACCCGATCTATACGCTGTTCTGTATTGGGGGACATAGTCTAGTCACTCCTAGTGCAGGGATCATCAACTAGATTCAGCCGCGGGCCGATTTGTTTCTCGAGCGGATGGTCAGGGGGCCGGAACATAATTACAAATAATTTGTAGACAGCAAATTGACCACAAGAAGCCCAAACAGATATAATATTTGACAAAAATATAATCATTTCAAACCGTGCTTATATTTGTATACTATCTACGGGTCTCTCTATGATGCGTGGGAATACTTGGGAACAGATTTTCCTAAAATTAAAAATCACTTGGAGCTGATTTCCTGGTATTTTTACAGTCTTTTATGTCCTACAATGAAAATCCGTCCCTCGGGCCCTGCTCTAGTGTAACCAGGGCCTTGGAAAAGAGACGGGCGATGTCCCAAATGGTGCCACTTTCCCTTTATAGTGCACTCGTTTTTATAGGGTGCCATTTGGGAAGCATCCACTGAAAATAGAGCCTCTGTCTGGTCTAAAAATCTCTCTTCCACACACTTGAGGCTTGGAATGTGAAGAGATAACTGGGCTGCTAATGGAAGAGGGAAATGCTCAGGGCTAGGCTACATCCCAGTAAATGCATAAGGTAAAGTAAGTAAGCCTTACCCGAGCCAGAACTGCCAAAGGCCAGGGTTAAAGAAGACACACCCACTGAGGTACATGTACCTTTCGGACTCTGCTCTGGATTACTGACCTCTGCCTGCCCTTGACCTGTCGTTTGCCTGCCCCGTTTTTGTAAATAAGCTTTACAAACAGGAGACATAGCTCTTGCCAAAAACACTGGTGGAGTAAACAACATACAGTGCATTCGGGAAAGAATTCGGACCCCTTGACCTTTTTCCACATTTTGTTACTTTACAACCTTATTCTAAAACAGATTTAAATTGTTTTTGTCCCCTCATCAATCTACACACAATACCCCATAATGACAAAGCAAAAACAGGTTTTTATAAATTGTAGCAATACATTTTAGAATAAGGCTGTAATGCAACAAAATGTGGAAAAAGTGAAGGGGTCCGAATACTTTCCCGAATGCACTGTATGTTGTTTACTCCACCAGTGTTTTTGGCAAGAGCTATGTCTCCTGTTTGTAAAGCTTATTTACAAAAACGGGGCAGGCAAACGACAGGTCAAGGGCAGGCAGAGGTCAGTAATCCAGAGCAGAGTCCGAAAGGTACAGAAACGGCAGGCAGGCTCAGGGTCGGGACAGGCAGAATGGTCAAAATCAGGAAAAACTAGAAAACAGAGACTAGAGCAAAACAGGAGTACGGGAAAACCGTGGGTAAGCTTGACGAGACAAGACGAACTGGCAACAGACAAACAGAAAACGCTGGTATAAATACACAGGGGATAATGGGGACAAATGTGGAAATTATGTTACTAAACTCAACAACTCTGTCGTAGCCGGCCGCGACCGGGAGACCCATGGGGCGGCGCATAATTGGCCCTGCGTCGTCCAGGTTAGGGGAGGGAATGGCCGGCAGGGATGTAGCTCAGTTGGTAGAGCATGACGTTTGCAACGCCAGGGTTGTGGGTTCAATTCCCACGGGGGGCCAGTATGAAAAATAAAATAATGTATGCACTCACTGTAAGTCGCTCTGGATAAGAGCGTCTGCTAAATGACTAAAATGTAAATGTAAACAAAAAGAAGAAACTTTGGAGTACTTTAAATGAAATTATGGGCAGAAAGACAATTCAACTCCCATCATTGAATCAGATGGCTTATTCATCACAAAACCATTTGATGTTGCCAATTATTTTAATGATTACTTCATTGGGAAAGTGGGCAAACTTAGGCAGTAGATGTCAACAACAAACAGTGAGCCATCGTATTCATGCATAAAAATACAAATAATAAAAGAAAAGCACTGTACAAAAAAGTTCGTTTTTTCTCCCAAAAGCAAGTCCTGCAGAGCTTTAGTTTGATCTTATCTTGATTGTTGTCCAGTCATGTGGTCAAGTGCTGCAAAGAAGGACCTAGTTAAGCTGCAGCTGGCCCAGAACAGAGCGGCACGTCTTGCTCTTCATTGAAATCAGAGGGATAATATCAATACTATGCGTGCCAGCCCCTCTTGGCTAAGAGTTGAGGAAAGACTGACTGCATCACTTCTAGTTTTTATAAGAAACATTGTGTTACACACACACACACTTACCCCACCAGACATGCCACCAGGTGTCTTTTCCCCAAATCTGGAACAAATTCAAGGAAAAGTACAGTATACAGAGCCATGATTGCATTGAACTTCGTTCCATTTCATGTAGCGAAACAGCAAACCTGGTTTGAAAACACAAATAAAGCAACACCTCACGGCACAACGCCCCTCCCACCATGTGACCTACTTGTTGATAGATCCACACACACTGATTATAAGGTCCCCCACCCATCATCCCCGAGGTCCCCCACCACACCCATCATCCCCTGAGGTCCCCCCACCCACCCATCATCCCCTGAGGTCCCCCACCCACCCATCATCCCCTGAGGTCCCCCACCCACCCATCATCCCTGAGGTCCCCCACCCACCCATCATCCCCTGAGGTCCCCCACCCACCCATCATCCCCTGAGGTCCCCCACCCACCCATCATCCCCTGAGGTCCCCCACCCACCCATCATCCCCTGAGGTCCCCCACCCACCCATCATCCCCTGAGGTCCCCCACCCACCCATCATCCCCTGAGGTCCCCCACCCACCCATCATCCCCTGAGTCTCCCCTTACATTCACCCTCCCCACAATGACCAGAGAACCACCCCTTCCCTGTGGGACTGAAAGCAAAGGAAGTAGCAAAAGTCTAAATAAATATATATAACTGGTTTGTATATGTGGGGCTTTAGCTGAGATTGTTCTTTACAGAGTCAAGTATATTTAATTGTTGTTTATTGGCCTCAATTGTTCCCTGACTAGCACCATTTATTTTCACTGTCGATAATTCTAATGTTATAACTTCTAATAGTAACTGAATCCATTGGTTAAATGTGAGAGAGTGAGGTGGTTGCCTGGTTACTTCCTCTTTCTTATTTCCTCTCCTCTCTCCCTCTTCCTCTCTCCTCTCTCCCACCCTCTTCCTCTCCTCTCCTCTCTCCCACCCTCTTCCCTCTCTCCTCTCTCCTCTCCTGTGTAGTTGCAGAACCATGTCCATCCTGAAGATTCATGCTCGTGAGATTTTCGACTCCCGTGGAAACCCCACCGTGGAGGTCGACCTGTACACCAAGAAAGGTAAGAGATTATAATGGAGCAGGGCTGTCTGTAAACGTTGTTCTCTGTAGGGTTAGGGTTCGACGCTGCCTTTGTCCGAATCACATTTGGGACTTACACAGTACATTATTAAGGCATGAGTGAAGTGTTGTCCATAACACCGTTCTCTCTACGGGGCCAGTTTTAATAGTTTAAGCAACATTGCATGCATGCACGTTATCTAGGATATATTTAGCAACAAAGTACTGTTTCGTTTTAATGGGTTCATGAATTGATCACTTTAGAGTGATGAATAGATTTTAAAGTGGGGAAGCAGCCCGTCAGCTTACGGTGAATAAAACCTAGCAGCGCTCAGTGCCCCCTGAGCTAATGAATCAAACATGTGATGTCCCTAGCGGGCAGCGCTGGTCTGGGTCTGATAAAGTGCCAACTCACTGTGATGCTGCTCATTGTGCCGTGCATTGTGGGACGGGAGAATGTCATTGTTTCCTTGGCCACTCCTTTAACACTCATGTCGTTTATTCAGTGCATTCGGAAAGTATTCAGACCCCTTGCCTTTTTCCACATTTTTAGTTACGTTACAGCCGTATTCTAAAATTGATTAAATCGGTTTTTTTCCCCCCTCATCAATCTACACACAATACCCCATAATGACAAAGCAAAAACAGGTTTTGCAAATTTATAAAAAATAAAAAACTGAAATATCACATTTAAATAAGTATTCAGACCCTTTACTCAGTACTTTGTTGAAGCACCTTTGGCAGCGATTACAGCCTCGAGTCTTCTTGGATATGACGCTACAAGCTTGGCACACCTGTATTTGGGGAGTTTCTCCCATTCTTCTCTGCAGATCCTCTCAAGCTCTGTCAGGTTGGATGGGAGCGTTGCTGCACAGCTATTTTCAGGTCTCTCCAGAGATGTTCGATCGGGTTCAAGTCCAGGCTCTGGCTGGGCCACTCAAGGACATTCAGAGACTTGTCCCGAAGCCACTCCTGCATTGTCTTGCCTGTGTGCTTAGGGTTGTTGTCCTGTTGGAAGGTGAACCTTCGCCCCAGTCTGAGGTCCTGAGCACTCTGGAGCAGGTTTTCATCAAGGATCTCTCTGTACTTTGCTCCGTTCATCTTTCCCTCGATCCTGAATAGTCTCCCAGTCCCTGCTACTGAAAAACATCCCCACAGCATGATGCTGCCACCACCATGCTTCACCGTAGGGATGGTGCCAGGTTTCCTCCAGACGTGAAGCTTGGCATTCAGGCCAAATAATTCAATCTTGGTTTCATCAGACAAGAGAATCTTGTTTATCATGGTCTGAGAGTCTTTAGGTGCTTTTTGGAAAACTCTTAAGTGGGCTGTCATGTGCCTTTTACTGAGGAGTGGCTTCCGTCTGGCCACTCTACCATAAAGGCCTGATTGGTGGAGTGCTGCAGAGATGGTTGTCCTTCTGGAAGGTTCTCCCATCTCCACAGAGGAACTCTAGAGCTCTGTCAGAGTGACCATCGGGTTTTTGGTCACCTCCCTGACCAAGGCCCTTCTCCCCCGATTGCTACCAAAGGTGCTTCAACAAAGTAAAGGTTTGTTTTTTGCAAAAACCTGTTTTCGCTTTGTCATTATGGGGTGTTGTTAAATGTTTTATTTAATACATTTTAGAATAAGGCTGTAACGTAAAACAAAATTTGGAAAAAGGGAAGGGGTCTGGATACTTTTCGTATGCACTGTATTGCCATGAATTGAAAGTATGAAGATACTTCTTAAATCTTGGAATTAGAAGAAGTATCATTATTTCCCCTACAACTCATCCAGAATGCCGCAGCCCGTCTGGTGTTCAACCTTCCCAAGTTCTCTCACGTCACCCCGCTCCTCCGCACACTCCACTGGCTTCCAGTTGATGCTTGCATCTGCTACAAGACCATGGTGCTTGCCTACGGAGCTGTGAGGGGAACGGCACCTCCGTACCTTCAGGCTCTGATCAGTCCCTACACCCAAACGAGGGCATTGCGTTCATCCACCTCTGGCCTGCTGGCTCCCCTACCTCTGCGGAAGCACAGTTCCCGCTCAGCCCAGTCAAAACTGTTCGCTGCTCTGGCACCCCAATGGTGGAACAAGCTCCCTCACGACGCCAGGACAGCGGAGTCACTCACCACCTTCCGGAGACATTTGAAACCCCACCTCTTTAAGGAATACTTGGGATTCCCCCCCCCCCCCCCCCCCCCCAAAAAAAAACAAACATTGTAAAGTGGTTATCCCACTGGCTATAAGGTGAATGCACCAATTTGTAAGTCGCTCTGGATAAGAGCGTCTGCTAAATGACGTAAATGTAAATGTAAAAATATCCAGAACATTCCACATTATAAGTGATGGAAAGGCTAACACCTCCTTTGGTTAACAATAGCTTGTTGTTTACAAGACATGTACTGCCTTATTGGAATAAAGTGGACTGCAATGCAGAGGTTCCCATCACAAATATAATTGCAATGTTTAAAAAAGTATCCTCATAACAGCTCTGATATGTTAATCAATAGTGTTCATCAATAGGTATTTTTCTCCAGCACTTGGCCTGTCTGTTTCTCTGTGTCCCCTCATGTTTATTCAAATCAATTCAATTAAAAATACAGTACAAATATGTAAAAACAACAATTAACAAGAAATGACACCACCAATAGTTTTAGCTCCAGGCTAGTCCCTCTCCAACTGGCAGAGTGAGTTAGCTCCAGGCTAGTCCCTCTCCAACTGGCAGAGTGAGTTAGCTCCAGGCTAGTCCCTCTCCAACTGGCAGAGTGAGTTAGCTCCAGGCTAGTCCCTCTCCAACGGACAGAGTGAGTTAGCTCCAGGCTAGTCCCTCTCCAACGGACAGAGTGAGTTAGCTCCAGGCTAGTCCCTCTCCAACTGGCAGAGTGAGTTAGCTCCAGGCTAGTCCCTCTCCAACTGGCAGAGTGAGTTAGCTCCAGGCTAGTCCCTCTCCAACTGGCAGAGTGAGTTAGCTCCATGGTAAGGGTAGCCTATATCCTACAGCCTACTAGAGAGAGCTAGCATGTTATTGGAGTGAAAATAGCTCCTGTCTGTAACGGTACACTGCTTGGACAGCGCTACCGTGTTACTGTAATGGTTCCTACAGGGGAAACACTAGTCATACTGAGACACACACAGTAGAATCAGTGTTTCCCCTGTAGTCATTTAGCAGCAGCAACTTTTAAAGGGATAGTGTGAGATTTGAGCAATTAAGCCCTTTTTCTACTTACCCAGAGTCAGATGAATTCATGGATACCAATTTTAATGTCTCTGCTTGCAGTTTGAAGGAAGTTGCTAACTAGCATTAGCGCAATTGCTAACTAGCAATAGCGCAATGACTGCTAGCTGTCCTATAGACTTCCAGTCATTGTGCTAACGCTAGTTAGCGATGGCTCGCAAAAATACCTTCCACTTCTTCAAACTGCACGCAGATACATACAAATGGTTCATTTGACTCGGGGGTAAGTAGAAAAATGCCTTGAAGATCAGAGTGACAAGTTACAACATGTATTTGTAGCACACATATAACCATTTCAAAATGTCAGTGATTGACTCTGGGGGAGAGGAAAAGACGTCAAGTTGCAACCACACAGCTAGATAACAGTATTTGCTCACTACTGAAATACTCTGCCACACCTTTCTGTACCTTTTTGGTAGATGAAGACAGTTCACTATTGTTGCTTGCCATTCACTGGTATGCAGTGTGGCCAACTACCACTTGGTACTAGATGTGGGGGGGTGTAGCTACAGAATGTTGCAATCTGTTGCTGATAGAATGTAGCCAACTGTTGTTACTTTGTGGTTTCCCTTTCAGAGATGTTGAGAAATCAATGCTACTATGTTTCCATTGCACATCGAATGTGGAATAGACATAGTGCACGTAAATCAATATTTAAATGACCTATGTGTTAGAGTTAATCATTAAACTTCTTGTCATACCCAGTCAGAGATAATGAAAACAGAAGCTGAATTGAATCCTGGAATGTCAAGTCTTCTATGTTTCCATTGCACATTAAAAATGGAATAGACATAGTGCACGTTTACTAAGATAAATATTTAAATAAATAGTTTAATTTTCTATTTGTTAAGAGTTAATCATTATACTAGGGAGAACACACAGCAAAATACTTATTATCATACCCAAAGATATAAAAACAGGTGAAGGCAAGAAGTTGAATTAAATCCTGGAATGTCAAATATTGTATTATGTACTTCATTGTGAGGAAGCCATTCAGGAGCCTATCGTCAGGTTCGATCCCTCCATCTCCAATCTGTCACCTATGGACACAGAAAACCAAACTATGCTGTGTCCCAAATGGCAACCTATTCCCTATGTAATGCACTACTTTTGCACTACTTTTGCACTATGACTTTTAGTGCACCCCTATGATCCCTGGTCAAAAGTGATGCACTATATAGTGAGTAGGGTTCCATTTTGGACGTAACCATAGACACATAGATTACAGTAAAGTAGAATTCTATGGCTAAACTTCCAACATTCTAATGTCAGTTGCACAGTATGGGCTATTTTTAAACAATAGTTCAGGTGGTGCTTTCAAAGTTGGTTATATTATATATGATTTGAAATGTATGTCATGACCTTTCAGAACCACTTGTCAAACAAAATGTACAATGTGTCAGGGTTTCCTTTTTTTAATGCAATTTATACAGGTAATTCTGATATGTATCCTAGGGGTCAAAGGTTGACCTGAACATTCCTGATGGATAGCTGTGAACCCAAGCTTTCCAATGATATACCGTATGATTGAAGGGTATACGTGAGCAATATGTTGTATACTGACATTGTTTGTCATAGGGTCAAATCCATATGGGAAGAATGAATGGGTTAGAGGGATGAATGAAAGCCTGACAACAGAGGAAGCTGCCATCGCTGCACCACACATTTTACAACTAGGGACATAGACCTTATAGAAAATCACTATGAGACATCGTCACCCCGAGTCCAACTCCGGTCCTCCAGTACCCCTAACAGTCTAATTCCGGTCTTCCAGTATCCCTAACAGTCTAATTCCAGTCTTCCAGTACCCCTAACAGTCCAATTCCGGTCTTCCAGTACCCCTAACAGTCCAATTCCAGTCTTCCAGTATCCCTAACGGTCCAATTCCGGTCTTCCAGTACCCCTAACAGTCTAATTCCGGTCTTCCAGTATCCCTAACAGTCTAATTCCGGTCTTCCAGTACCCCTAACAGTCCAATTCCAGTCTTCCAGTACCCCCTAACAGTCTAATTCCGGTCTTCCAGTATCCCTAACAGTCCAATTCCAGTCTTCCAGTACCCCCTAACAGTCTAATTCCGGTCTTCCAGTACCCCCAGTCATTTGGTAATCCTGAACTCATGGCCTAAATCTCTCTGTGTGTCTCCAATGAGCAGTTAGAATCACATTTGCATAGCCAGTATCTTTCTTCACATGGTTGAATCCAAAATGTATGACCTTGGTGTGACCTTGGTGTGACCTTGGTGTGACCTTGGTGTGTGTCTGAGGCTGAGGCTGAGGCAGCAGTCGTATCCTGGAGACGTATGTGTGTGTGCGTGCGTGCGTGCGTGTGTGTGTGTGTGTGTGTGTGTTTGTGTGTGTGCGTGCGTGCGTTCGTACGTGTGTGTGTGAACCTGTAGTCTCATCCTGAGGTTGCTTCAGCTGCACTGCACATGCTCAGTAGAGAGCTTTTCTTCTCTGTCCAACCCTGTTACATCACATTGATCTGCTTAGTATGTGCGACCAGGCAGCGACCCTCCCTCTCTCTCCTCAGGGAGCAAAATGTGATTAACGCATGAATGATGGAATTCTTTCCTGTTGTTTTCACTACATAAATACCAAAAGCCATCATACTAAAACAAAATATTATTCAATGAATTTTTTTCTAATAATATTGATATTATTATTATTATTATTATTACTTGAGCAGTAATATAGTCTGGATCAGTCAATGTGTTAGGAACTGGATCGGTAATATAGTCTGGATCAGTCAATGTGTTATGAACTGGATCAGTAATATAGTCTGGATCAGTCAATGTGTTAGGAACTGGATCAGTAATATAGTCTGGATCAGTCAATGTGTTAGGAACTGGATCAGTAATATAGTCTGGATCAGTCAATGTGTTAGGAACTGGATCAGTAATATAGTCTGGATCAGTCAATGTGTTAGGAACTGGATCAGTAATATAGTCTGGATCAGTCAATGTGTTAGGAACTGGATCAGTAATATAGTCTGGATCAGTCAATGTGTTATGGAACTGGATCAGTAATATAGTCTGGATCAGTCAATGGTGTTATGAACTGGATCAGTATATAGTCGGATCAGTCAATGTGTTAGGAACTGGATCAGTAATATAGTCTGGATCAGTCAATGTGTTAGGAACTGGATCAGTAATATAGTCTGGATCAGTCAATGTGTTAGGAACTGGATCAGTAATATAGTCTGGATCAGTCAATGTGTTAGGAACTGGATCAGTAATATAGTCTGGATCAGTCAATGTGTTAGGAACTGGATCAGTAATATAGTCTGGATCAGTCAATGTGTTAGGAACTGGATCAGTAATATAGTCTGGATCAGTCAATGTGTTAGGAACTGGATCAGTAATATAGTCTGGATCAGTCAATGTGTTAGGAACTGGATCAGTATATAGTCTGGATCAGTCAATGTGTTAGGAACTGGTCAGTAATATAGTCTGATCAGTCAATGTGTTATACGGACTGGTTCAGTCAATATAGTCTGGATCAGTCAATGTGTTATGAACTGGATCAGTATATATAGTCTGGATTCAGTCATGTTGTGATAGGAACTGGATCAGTATATAGTCTGGATCAGTCATGTGTTAGGAACTGGATCAGTATATAGTCTGGATCAGTCAATGTGTTTAGGAACCTGGCATCAGTTGTAATTAGTCTGGATCAGTCAATGTGTTAGGACTGGATCAGTAATATAGTCTGGATCAGTCAATTGTTGGAACCGTACTGGATCAGTAATTGTTGATAGGTCTGGATCAGTCAATGTGTTAGGAACTGGATCAGTAATTAGTCTGGATCAGTCAATGTGTTAGGAACTGGATCAGTAATATAGTCTGGATCAGTCAATGTGTTAGGAACTGGATCAGTAATATAGTCTGGGCCCATATTTACAAAGCGTATCAGAATAGGAGTGCCGATCTAGAATCAGGTCCGCCCTCTTATTCATTATGGTTTAAACTGATCCTAGGTCAGCGATAGTACTCTGCGACACTTTGTGGATACCGGCCCTGGTTTCAGATCAGTTTGTGGATACCGGACCTGGTTTCAGATCAGTTTGTGGATACCGGACCTGGTTTCAGATCAGTTTGTGGATACCGGACCTGGTTTCAGATCAGTTTGTGGATAGCGGACCTGGTTTCAGATCAGTTTGTGGATACCGGACCTGGTTTCAGATCAGTTTGTGGATACCGGCCCTGGTTTCAGATCAGTTTGTGGATACCGGCCCTGGTTTCAGATCAGTTTGTGGATACCGGCCCTGGTTTCAGATCAGTTTGTGGATACCGGCCCTGGTTTCAGATCAGTTTGTGGATACCGGCCCTGGTTTCAGATCAGTTTGTGAATACCGGCCCTGGTTTTAGATCAGTTTGTGGATAGCGGCCCTGGTTTCAGATCAGTTTGTGGATACCGGCCCTGGTTTTCAGATCATTTGTGAATACCGGCCCTGGTTTCAGATCAGTTTGTGGATACCGGCCCTGGTTTCAGATCAGTTTGTGGATACCGGCCCTGGTTTCAGATCAGTTTGTGGATACCGGCCCTGGTTTCAGATCAGTTTGTGGATACCGGACCTGGTTTCAGATCAGTTTGTGGATACCGGACCTGGTTTCAGATCAGTTTGTGGATAGCGGACCTGGTTTCAGATCAGTTTTGTGGATACCGGACCTGGTTTCAGATCAGTTTGTGGATACCGGCCCTGGTTTCAGATCAGTTTGTGGATACCGGCCCTGGTTTCAGATCAGTTTGTGGATACCGGCCCTGGTTTCAGATCAGTTTGTGGATACCGGCCCTGGTTTCAGATCAGTTTGTGGATACCGGCCCCTGTTTCAGATCAGTTTTTGTGAATACCGGCCCTGGTTTTAGATCAGTTTGTGGATAGCGGCCCTGGTTTCAGATCAGTTTGTGGATACCGGCCCTGGTTTCAGATCAGTTTGTGAATACCGGCCCTGGTTTCAGATCAGTTTGTGGATACCGGCCCTGGTTTCAGATCAGTTTGTGGATACCGGCCCTGGTTTCAGATCAGTTTGTGGATACCGGCCCTGGTTTCAGATCAGTTTGTGGATACCGGCCCTGGTTTCAGATCAGTTTGTGGATACCGGCCCTGGTTTCAGATCAGTTTGTGAATACCGGCCCTGGTTTCAGATCAGTTTGTGGATACCGGCCCTGGTTTCAGATCAGTTTGTGGATACCGGCCCTGGTTTCAGATCAGTTTGTGAATACTGGCCCTGGTTTCAGATCAGTTTGTGGATAGCGGCCCTGGTTTCAGATCAGTTTGTGGATACCGGCCCTGGTTTTAGATCAGTTTGTGGATAGCGGACCTGGTATCAGATCAGTTTGTGGATAGCGGACCTGGTTTCAGATCAGTTTGTGGATATCAGACATGGTTTCAGATCAGTTTGTGGATAGCGGACCTGGTTTCAGATCAGTTTGTGAATACCGGACCTGGTTTCAGATCAGTTTGTGGATACTGGACCTGGTTTCAGATCAGTTTGTGAATACCGGACCTGGTCTCAGATCAGTTTGTGGATAGCGGACCTGGTTTCAGATCAGTTTGTGGATACCGGCCCTGGTTTCAGATCAGTTTGTGGATACCGGACCTGGTTTCAGATCAGTTTGTGGATAGCGGACCTGGTTTCAGATCAGTTTGTGGATAGCGGACCTGGTTTCAGATCAGTTTGTGGATACCGGATCTGGTTTCAGATCAGTTTGTGAATACCGGACCTGGTTTCAGATCAGTTTGGGCTGTTCTGCCACATTGTTCACTTCTGTCTTCCTCAGGTTTTATCCTGCAGTATGTCAGTAAATAGAGATGGAATAGACTCATTAACATCATATCTTTCCTCCCCAGATGAAATAGACTCATTAACATTCTATCTTTCCTCCCCAGATGAAATAGACTCATTAACATTCTATCTTTCCTCCCCAGATGAAATCAACTCATTAACATTCTATCTTTCCTCCCCAGATGAAATAGACTCATTAACATTCTATATTTCCTCCCCAGATGAAATAGACTCAATAACATCCTATCTTTGGTCCCCAGATTAAATCGATTAGCCTAATTACATACTCTCTTGTTCTGTGTTCTCCAGGTCTGTTCAGGGCTGCAGTCCCCAGCGGTGCCTCTACTGGTATCTATGAAGCTCTGGAGCTCCGTGACAACGACAAGACACGCTATCTGGGCAAAGGTACGCACATTTCCCTCTTCTGATTGGACTAGCTAGTAACACTCCCTGTTCTGATTGGACTAGCTAGTTACCAGTCATTTACAGTGCCTAGTGAAAGTCTACACACCCCTTGCACAGTCTTCACATTTTGCTGCCTTAAAATTAAATCTAAAAAAGGGATTACATTTGATGTTTTACAGCAGGACAATTAACACATTTTAATGCCAAAGACACACCAGAATGGCTTTCCAAGAGGTGTTGAGTGTTCCTGAATGGTCCAGTCTTAGTACTGACTTAAATCTGCTTGAAAATCCGAGACAAGGTTTGAATATTGCTGTCCATCAATGATTCCCAACCAAATGTACTGAGCTTGAGCAATTTTGACAAAAACAATTGATATATGTTGCACTAAGAGTTGTGCAGAGTTGGTAGAATCTTATTCGAAATGACTTACAGCTGTAATGGCTGCCAAAATCGCTTCCATCAACTATTAACACAAGGGTGTTATTTTCTATTAAATTTGGAAAATGTTTCTATAACTTTCTTTCACTTTCAAATGTAATCCCTTTTTTAGATTTAATTTTAAGGCAGCAAAATGTGAAGACTGTGCAAGGGGGTGTGTAGACTTTCACTAGGCTATAGGCACTGTATATTAGGTGGAATTTAGCAACATGCTAGTCTTAGAGTGTATTGTTGTCATAGCTAGTTTCCAATGTCCATGGACTCTAGCCTGGTCCCAGATCTCTTCGTGCTGTATGGCCAACTCGTGTGGTTGGCATGGCAATAACCATAGGAGTTGGCAAGACAGCACAGACAGATCTGGGACCAGGCTACATGGACACAGCTCACTCTATACATTTTTTTCCCATTACATGTTTCTTTCCTTCCTTCCTTCCTTCCTTCTTCATCCTGCCTTTCTCTGACACGTCATCCTTCTCTCCTGCTGTCAGGGGTGAAAAGGGCTGTTAAATATGTTAATGAGTTCTTGGCCCCGGCTCTGTGTAACCAGGTAAATACACAGTGTGGAGGAGCAACAGGAGTAAGGCACAGATAACACTGAAATGAACTGGAGTTGATGAAAGCATGACTTTCGAGTGGGTTTGCCTTGATTTGACAACTAACTAACCTCTGTGGCAGGCATTCACAGACAATCACAGATTTTCTAAATCGTTATTACGGCCATAAAAATATAACGACTAGAAGAGACATTCCTCCAAGTCAATGTTTTGTGATGGGTGGAGCGGCCGGCGGCCATATTGTCATTCTATTTCTGTGATTACCCCATGATCCCAATAGTAGATCATTCTACTTGAAGTTTGTTTAACCAGCCTAGTTGCTGCCACCACAGCAGACAATATTAACGAGATCTAAGGCTTGCTCTGTGATCGTCTGGTAGTGCCTGCTGCTCTTGCACGGTCTACTTCTCCCTGGGTTGTGACGCTCTGCTTGTCCCTCTGCAGGTGTCTCAAAAGCTGTTGATCATATCAATAAAACTATTGCACCTGCACTTGTTCGGCAGGTAGGAACATTTACTGTTTGACTAACATTGATCATGTTGTGCTAGTGTCAAGTCAGTGTTGCATAGAGCAGTCATGTAGGAGATTGCTAAGAACAATCCTGACTGAGGACAATGAAGTCAGAGGGTAAGAGAAGACACCTATCACTTCAAGTTCCACGTAGAGTTCTTCTTTACCCCATGGAGTTTACTAGATACAATATATCCTCTTGGATACAATATATCCTCTTGGACTTTTGTCTGTTGAATGTATCTGTAAGATGTTATTGTTGTATGTATACAACACTGTACGCACCTCGGTGACCAGAGCGACAGAGGTCTCGGGTATTTTACCTAACCTGGCTAGTAACACCTCAAGATGCTGTGTGTAGTGTGCACTAGCGAACCTAAATGTCCTTCAAGACAGGCGTGTTGAGCTAACCTGTTTGAACTTTGAACTAACCTTTGTCTGTTTGTTGTCAGTTCCTCCCATCTCTAACGATCTGTCTGTCTGTCTGTCTGTCCTGTTGTTCAGAATGTCAGCGTCGTGGAGCAGGAGAAGGTGGACAAGCTGATGCTGGACATGGATGGCACAGAGAACAAGTGTAGGTTACTTCCTTTAATATATGGAATCTTAGCATAGAGTTGAGAGTGTACAGTGATGCAGTACATTCCAGTGTACTATTCTTCAAAGCAAAGACAGACATGTC